TTTTAAATAAGATGAGTTAAATGAATCATCCGCCACCAAAGCGGTTTGGTGCAAGGTCACATCTCATCAATTTTCTCTCTCAGTTAGTGGAGAACTTAGCTCTCTGCCTCTTTCTCAGTCCCACACACACACAAATTGCCATACGGCCCAAAGAAATCTGCGTTAGCCGAATATGAGAGAACCAGCAGCACAGTTGCATAATCTTGCCTTGTATCTTAACACCAATACTTAATACCAAAGAACAAACCAACCTCAATATAGACAAAGTACTGGGTGTTCAGCCTTAATTTGTATTCATAGAACACATGTCAAAAGAAACCGCAGGCCAATAGTTGTTAACCAGCTCACACCACCAGCGATCTGCTAAGTTGTCTTCTGTTGCTGGCCAATGAGCCATAGCATTGTATATTCTTACCGTTGTGCTCATTGTGTCCTTCATTTGGCCCTCTGGGCTCCTGAGCATCCACAGTCAGGCTCAAGCAGCAATGGTACTCAGTAGTTATGAGTTGTTTTTCTTCTCCTTCATTATCGATGCTTGAGCAACAACTCAGCTGTCCAAGTGTCATCCTCATTTGATAGACACTATCTATCAAAGAGGTATTTACAGCAGATTTAGATGTGTGACACTTTTTTTCTCACCTCCACACAAGCTTACACACACACACACACACACACACACACTTGCATGCACAATCTACAGTATGAATCTTATGAAACGGACTATGAATGCATCACCTTTTGGACTGTTCACTGAAACGTCCCTATTAACATACATGAAATGAAACAAGAGTAGTGTCACCTGCATGTCCTGTTTCTGTCTGTCATTTATGTGTGTATAGACCTACTGTATACACACACGTTACATATCTGTGTGTGTGTGTACATTGAAGTATAAATCACAGCTGTATGAAAAATGTTTTTTGAGCAGTTGCAGAACTATTAAGTACAAAAATAAGAAAATGTGAAAAAAAATGTGCGGGAGGATGTGTGTGTGTGTGTTTGTGTGCTTTTTATCTGAATATTGATGATGATCTAGTGTGGGAGGCATGGGTATGTGGGCTGCTTGAGTGATGTCTGACCTTTACTCTGAAACTAGTATCTATAATATTCGTCGTCTTTATGCAAACAAATGTCGGCTATATGAATTTACCTTCTATTTTTTTTTAGCAAAACATCAATCTAAAGCAGCCAAATAACTTAATCAGCACAGCCCACACTGTAGACGATAAATACTAATCAGAAACAAATAAGTACCTTTTCCCAGAAAGCATTATTATTCAAATAATTGCAAAACTTCTTAACCCTTCAAATCAGTATTTTTGGGTAAATAATGCACTTAAAGGTTTGTTGTCTGAACCAAACAACTCAAATACATGCTGAATGATAGCTATTTTTAATATTTCAAGGCCCTTCTTGCACGCATACTCAAGCATGTATATACAGCATGTGTGTGTGTGTGTATTTCTAATAAAATACCCACACATATACTTACATACACACACATTGGATACACCTTTGAAATATATATATTTATGTGTGTGTGTGTGTGTGTGTGTGTGTATGTATGTATAAACACACATACACACTTAAAATGTTTAAATGAGAATTGCTATATTTACAGTGAGGTGACACTCTCGGGTTTATGGTTGTGTTTATGTTGGGACAACGCCTTTTAACACACAAAGACAGCTAAGTCAGTTTAACTGCCAATGCATCACTAGCCAGGTTTCCGTCCAAGGATTTTTCTGCATATAAAGACTCAACGCATCAAAATGTTTACCGACATAGCTGATGGAAATGCCATTTATCAATACAATTTCTCAAGTGTCAATGCATCAGCAATGATTTAAAATCATGACTTCACACATCGATGCTGAATAGGTCAACATACTTGTTTAATAATTTAACCTGTTTAATACCAAAAGGTTGCCATTAAAATAGACATAATTTGTGCATTGCTTGTTAAGAAAAATAATATAACATCCATGTATGTGTATATATATATATATATATATATATATATGTATATGTATATGTGTGT